GCATTCCTATAATGTTTATACTTACACGTTATATTTATACTGAATTAAATTTTGTGTTATTTTCCTAGTAGCCATTTTGTTTGTGCTGAGTTCCAGTCCAGTGTGCCATCTTTAAACCAGAGTTTGATTTCGCGTTGGGCGGTTTCCGGTGAGTCTGAGCCGTGGCAGACATTGCGTGATATGTTAACGGCGAAATCTCCTCGGACGGTGCCTGGGGCACTTGCGGCAGGATCTGTTTGTCCTAATAATGTGCGGCCTGCTTTTACTACGCCGTGGCCTTGCCATACCATTGGTACTACTGGTCCGCTGCTCATGTATTTTACTATACTGTCAAAGAAGGGTTTGTCTTCGATGTTTTTGTAGTGTTTACGCAGGAGATCTTCGCCTGCGCACATCATTTTCAAAGCGACAAGTTGGAAGCCTTTGCGTTCGAAGCGTTCGATGATTTTTCCGACTAAACCGCGTTGCACGCCATCTGGTTTGACCATTATGAAAGTTCTTTCGCCTTTTTCTGCATGGCTGTGTTTTAAATGCAAATATTGTTATATTTTTTATGTTATGGGTTACAGTTGCTTACCAATATCTAATTTGTGTTAACAAATGTCTCAAAATAAGATTGTGAAGAGTTTTGGATGAATTCATTTTAATTTTACTAGAAATTTCCTTTATACGAAGATTTTTTATGATAATTTCACATTGACAGCTAATTTTAATGGCAGACAATCAATTTCAGGGCTATTCGACAGTTCATCCTTTTAATTAGGCAACCAATGTATTTAGAATTATAATCTTTTCCATCACCCTGTAAATATTTGTGTCCATAACCCAGAAATTGAAGTCTACCTAGATTTGCTTAACTTGAGTTGAAAAATACTAATTTTAACGATGAATTCTTCAAGTTCTATCAAAGCAAATCCTCTTATTAACAAAAACATACAATCTTTGTGCATTGTATGCAATAAACCACTCAAATGTTTCAAAGGTATATCAATTCAAGATGTTTTACCAAAAGTTTACACTCCAATGACAGTATTTGAAGGTTTAAAGAGGATTTCAAATGTAAGTTTCACTTTATTACAAGAAAAGCAAATTATATTCTTAAATATTTATTGTTTGTTTGTAGTTTTCGCAATTGACAATCGATGTACATATGTTTAATGTATGTGAATCTTGTTTTTCAATCATTGAATCAATGCTTTGTTTTCAAAATCTGTGTAACAAAGCTGTTGAAAACATCAAAGCATATTTTAACTTACAAGAAAACATAGAGTCTAGTGATGTATTAAATAATGACAATAATTATGTGGTTTGTGTATCTCAAAATATGGAAACAAGTGAAGAAGTTGTTGCTTGTAA